GGGAGCTACAGACTCTGGGGCAGGCGCTGGCCTCAGGGCTGAACCTCACAGCCCCATCTTTTGGGTGTAATGGGAGTTGAACTTCAGGGGGCCAGTGAATTGGCACTGGACTTAGAGGGCCTACTTAGCAAAGTTTTTGTGGGGCAATTTGGGGGATGGAAGGGACTCTCAGCTCACCCTCCCCCTGCCTGGACCACTACCCATCCCCAGACAGGGGCTCCCTCAACCCGCCAGCATCCTTCCGTCTTCTGAATTTGAGCTTAATGTGCCGAGAAGGAGTCAGAAAGGACAATCAGTAGGGGCTAGGTTTCCCCAAGTTATTGGAGCAGAACCAAGCCTAGGTCCTGAGACTTGCAACTCCCAGCCCAGTGCTCATCCAGTCACATTGAGGGTACCCATCAGGAATAGGTCCTCGGGGGACCCGCCTCCCCATCCCTGCTCTTTAAGCTGTTTCCTGTCCCATCTGGGAGGAGCTACAGAAGTCTGATATCCCAGCCCTTGTGAGGCTTCGGTGGGCCTCCATCCTCAGCTTTGGAAAGAGTAGGCCTGGCTCTCCATCCTCTCCTTCCCCCATCCTCTCCTCCCCCTTCCCTCCACCCCAGGGGCATGTGGTGAGGAGTTCACTCACTCAGAACATTCCTCATCTGTGAGTGGTGTCGGGAAGGCAGGCAGGAAGTTGTTCAGGGAGGGAGAAATAGCTGTTGGTCCCACAGGAAGACTCCATCCCAGCCTGATGGGAGGAGTAGAGGCCCTATCTTCCAGGAGGACCTGATGTGACCAGGGACCCATAAACAGGATCTCCAATGCTGAGTTAGGGGGGTAGTTGTCTGAGCCCTGGGGGGAGCAAGGGCAAAGCATCCCAGATGCTCAGTGTTCTTGTCCTTAAAAATACCAGGATTGGGCTAGCGCACCATCTCTTGCTACTCTTTTCCATTGTCTTTTCCCCTCAAAGATTTCTTACATAAGCAAAAGAGAAGATAGCAGATAGCAGGTGGTACCAAGGAGCAGAGCGGCTTCTGGAAGCCAGGCTCAAAGACAGGCAAGGTCCCGTGCACTCACTTATTCATTCATTCACACACACGCTAAGCCGGCATTTGCTGAGCACGCCTCTGTGCCAGGCCCCATCTGGGTGTCCATGCCTGGCAAGAGGCAGGCCGACCTGGGTTTGAGGCCCCCACCTGCCAGGCTAGAGGACTGACAAAAATGACTGAGAACAGTTAGAGAGAAAAGCTGAACCGTGGATGGGGAGCTCTGCTCACTACCGTAGGCCCGGCTCTAACACACCTTGGCACAGTCCCTACTGAAAGAAGGCACAGGGGTCTATGGGATCATAAAGGGATGCACCTGACTCAGGGTGAGGGTCAGGGGAGGCTTCCTGGAGGAGGTGGTCTTGAGCTGAGGGCCCATAGGCATTAGCCAGGCTGGGGGGGGGAGGGGGGCAGGCAGGGAAGGGGAAGAGGGGACAGGAATCATAAAGAGCAGGCTTCTGGAGTAGATGTTTGGAGGTCCCTGGCCACAACAGTCCTGTCTAGCTATGAAATCCCATGGTGTCTGGACTTGGATCTCCCTCAATTCTTGGGAAGAATGAGACCCAGCCAAGCTGAGGATGAGGCTCACCCTCCGGCAGGATCATGGTGACCCTTTCTCCAGGGAGGAATGGGTGGATAAGGGTGTGAGATTGACCCTAGGAATCCTCCCCCAGGGAAGGCGCTATCTGCCACCCTGCCCTGTGGTGCCTTCCTCCCATCCTCCCCCATCCTGGCACGTGGGGGTGCCCAGACGTTCCTGCACCGCTCTGACCCTGGGCATCCGTGAGGGGACTGTCAGTCACTGGTGCTCTCAAAAGAACCTCTCAACCCCTATTCAGGCCCACCCAGCAAAGACCCCAGTTATCCCCACTTTACCAATGAGGAAACTGAGGCCCCCAAGAGTTAGGTCACTTCCTTGAGGTCTCAACAGACTCACATCAGGGCTGATTCCAGGGTGTTCCACTTTGCCAGTTACTATCATCTGAAGCTATGGTATTTGGCTTGGAGGAGGGGAGAGGGTTCAACTTCAAGGCACACCAGGAAGGAAGGGTCCAGAGAAGCACAGGGGGCCTGGTGCAGAGGCTTGGGCCTCAGCAGTTGTGGGTAGCAACATGGTAGGGGTGGGCATCCACCCAATCCGGACTCTTTTTGTTCCTAACATTCCCACCACACTCCCAGCCCAACAGTGGGAAGTAGAGAGGGCCCCCACGGTGTCTATGGGAAGGAACATCAAGGCCTTCAGTCTCCTTCTCCCACTGCTGGCCTCTCTCCTGGAGTCAGAGAAGGTGGCACAGATCCAGAGTCTAGGTTGGAGCCAGGGTTCACAGCCAGGTCCTGACCCCCACTTTAATATTCTGCCTGCTTGCCTTGCTACCTGCCCCCATCACAGTAGTAAGTCTTAAAGACTGGGTCCAGTGTTTCCTGGGTATGTATGGGTCACTATGCCTTGGCTCTCAGGGCTCCCACTCCCCCACCTAGTATCTGTTCACTTTACACTTGAAGACAACCCGGGAGATAGGAAAGAACTTGGAAATTTTAAGATCCTGGAGATTTCTTTCTCATTTGCTTCCTCTGGAGGGAAAGGGATGCTGTATGACAGAACCTAGTCCTGGGGGTTTGGGAGCTGTAGGCACGGGCCACCTGCTGAGGTGGAGGGGATATGTGTCAGGGGAGCCAAGGGTCTCCTGGTGAGGTCTGTTGAGAATGAAACTGCCATCTCAGAGGGGCCTTAGCTAGTCAGCCCAGTTCCCATGTCTCCTAGCCTAGGATGAGGGGTGATCAGGAGAGTCAGGGTGCTCAGGGGGGCATCTCAGTACCCAGTGATATCCACTCTGCCCCAGAGGGAAACACCAGGCTCTCCCAGGAGGCCTTCATGGTCCATTTGACTCTGGACCGGGGCTGCACCTGCTACAGCCAGCGTTCATTGGCTGCTTCAGCCACCAATCACAAACTGGCCTTTCCACCAATGAGACTGACTTCTGGGCTCTGCCTCCCAACCCTGGCTGGATCCAGGCTTGCACAGAAAGGCCTTGGCACCACCCTGCCTCTTGCAGGAAGCACCGGGGCCATGCCAAGGAAACCATGCTCCTTCCAGTCTCTTGGCAGCAAGGTGCCCTGAGGGGTGGTAGTTGGTTTGTTCTCTCATCCAAAAAGCCTGCCAAAAAAGCTTGGCCCTGACCCTGACCCTCTTCTAGGACGAACCTGGTTTGGTCCCCCACCCTTGTAAAAGCATTTATTCCTTCCTCAGCAAGAGGCATTGAGGACCTCCTAGATGCCAAGTTCTGTGATCAAAACCGAGGTTACAGAGCTGAATCCAACAAAATAATCTGCCCTGGGGGTGCTCGAAGTCAAGTTGGTGCTGGTGATTGGGGGTGGGGTAGGGGTGGGGGATGGACTTCTAAACAGAGGAGTGCAATCAACTGTTACCAGACTGAAACCCAAGGACAGGAGGAGGGGTCAGTTTTGCGAAGGGAGGAGGATGGAGAGGGTGGCCAGGGGTGCACAGAGAATCCTGGAATATTTGCTCTGGAAGGGACATCAGGAAGCAAAGCCCAACCCTCTCACTTTGTGGATGGGGAAACTGAGGCCCAGGATGGGGAAGGGACTTAGCCAGGGTCACTCAGTGAGGTAGTGGCAGGCTCTCAGACCCCTGGTGGCCAGCCAGGGCCCGTTTGATGGTGCCAGGCTCCCTTTCTGGTTTTCTGAATCCCAACCCTTGTGTCCTAACTGCACTTTTGGAGACACATTTGACATCTCTATCCTGCAGTCACCCAAGAGGTGCCTGCTCAGGCCCAAGGAGCCGGGCGCTGCCAGTCCTTCCTCCAGAGGCAGTGTGGCCTCCTCTCGGCCTAGAATGGGGTGGTTGCGTTTTTCTCTCTCTCTCTCTATCTCTCTTGCATTTTTGTGAATCTAATGATGAACTTACGCTACCACACTTTTCCCTTCTCTTACACATCTTACCTACTAAAGGAGGAAGTGCCACTTTATTGGTAAGTGGACGTTAACCAAGAGGGACTTAAAAAATCAGAACTTAAAAAAAAAAAAAAAGGAAAAGAAAAGAGAGAAACAGAAAGACAGTCGGGTGCTGCTGACAGTTCCACAGGTCTCTGCAGGGCCGGAAAACAAAGAAAGAAAAATGTTAACAGAAAAAATGTCAGTTCCCCAGGAGTTCAGACATTGTTTTTGATTTTGGTATCTAATGACATTTGTGGATTTTGTTTTTTTATTTCTGTTTTTCCTCCCTTTCTTCGGTTCAGTTTTGAGTTCAGTTGTCCCGCCCCGCCCCCAACCCCATCTGTGTGCCGTGTGCCCCCTCCATCCCCTCACCCACCCCCACGCGCTGGGGGGCCTGGCCTGGGGGGGCTGGCCCTGGCCCGGCCTCCCGGTGCCCGCCCTCTCTCTACTCTCTGCCGGGATCGTCCGTCCCATCGGGGGCCAATGCCAGCCCCCGTGCCCGTCCTGGAGCTCCCTCCGTTTCAGCCCCCCTTCCCCCACCGCTCCGTCCCTCTTGTGTTTTGCATGCCGAGAACCTTGCATGAGCTGCACTGTTGAGGCCAGAAGGTGGACACTCAGGAGAGGCAGAGGCAGGGCAGGCGCGGGGAACCGTGTGTGCGATGCTCCGGGACTGGCAGCCCCCGGCCTGGGCCCGGTGAAAGCCCCCTCTCCTTCTCTCCCCCCACCCCACCCCCCGCCCGCTCTCTCACCCTCGACCTCGCTCCTTCTCTTGGTCTGTCCTCTCTCTGTCTCTCCTCTTTTCCTCTCTCTGCCCATCTCCTGCTTCTCTAACTTCCCCTGCTCTGTCTCCTCCGGCTCTGCCTCCCTCCCTCTCTCTCTCCCTCTCTCTCTCTCTCTGCTCTGGACTCTCGACCTCCTCGGTTTTCTCTGTCTCTGCGGGCCTCTCTTCCGCCCCGTCTCTGTGCCTCCGTCCCCTCTCCACCCCCTCCGTGCCCTCTCTGCCTCTCTCCCCGTCAGAAGCCCAGCTCGCCCTCGCCCAGGGCCCGCGACCAGGCGGAGGCCGGCGCAGCCACGCCGCCCGCGCGGGGCAAGGAGAGCCCGAGCCCGCGCTCGGCGCCGTCGTCCCAGGGCAGAGGAGGCCGCGCGGCGGGCGGGGCGGCCAGGCGGCGGCGGCGGCGGCGGCGGCGGCGGCGGCGCTCCCGGTCCTCTGCGTCCGCGCCCCGCCGCAGGGGCCGCCGGCGCGCCCGGCCCGCGCCGCCCCGGGGCTCGTCGCGCTCGCTCAGCAGGGCCCGCTCCAGCAGCGACTCCGGCGGCGGTGGCGGCGGCGGCGGTGCCCCCGGCCCCGGGCCCGAGCCCGGCTCCGAGCGAGGCCACGGCGCGCACGGGAAACGGTGAGCGGCACGGCCCCGGGGCCCGCATGGGGCTCCCCTCCCCGCCCTGAGCTCTGCCGCCCCCCGCGGAACACCTGCCCCCACCCGCCCCCACCATCTCCCTGGAACACCCTTCCCCGCCCTGACCCCCCCTCCCCATGGAACAGCCCCCCACCGGCCCCTCTGACCACTCTCCCTGTCCCCAAAGCTCCCTCTCCCCCCCCAAAGCACCTCCACCCACCCACCCACCCACCCCCCGCCAATGACCCCTCTCCCCGCACTGACCACTCTCCCTCCTTCTCAGTAAGCTCTCCCTTCCATGATCACTGCCCTCCCCCCTGCCCGACCATGGAGCACCCTTCCTCACCCAACCATCTCTCTCTCCCCCTCACTGGCCATTCTCCTTCCCCACTCCCTGAGTTCCCCCCGCACCGATCGCTGTCTCCCCACCAAGGAGCCCTCCCTTCCCCACACTGATCACTCTCCTCCCCAACAGAGTCCCCCCCCCACCCCCGTGATTCTCCTCCCATCAAGGGGCACTCGCCTCCCTCACTTGACCGCCCCCACTGATCACTGTCCCTCGACACCACGGAACACTCTCTTCCACACTTATGTCACTACCCCACGCCCACCCCTAGCCCTTTTCCCTCCTCTGGGAATCTAGTCCCGCTCCACCAACTCACGCACCACTTCCTCCCCCTCACTAACCCTTCTCCTCATCCACATGTCCTCCGTAGAACTCCTCCCCTACGGAGTCCCTTTCCCTCCACTGAGCCCACTTTGTCCCTAGCTGAGCCCGCTCCCTGTCACCGGCACCCCTTTAACCCCACTCCGCCACCCCGCCCCACCCCCGCCCAGCCCACTGTCTCCCTAGCTGAGTCCCTGTCGCCGCGCCCCTCCTCCAGGGCCAAGGAGCGGCCCCCGCGCGCCCGGCCGGCCAGCACCTCCCCGTCCCCGGGCGCGCACGGCAGGCACGGCGGCCCGGAGGGGAAGAGCTCGTCGCGCAGCCCGGGCCCCCACCCGCGCTCGTGGAGCTCCAGCCGCTCGCCCTCCAAGTCCCGCTCGCGCTCTGCGGAGAAGAGGATCCGCAGCCCCAGCCGCTCGCCGTCGCCCAAGAAAACCCTGGGCCGGTAAGTGCGGGCCCGGGGTCCCGCCGGGCGCAGGGGTGGCGGCGGGGACGGGCCCAAAGGGGCCCGGCTGGGCCGCGTCGCTCACCTCGACCGGGCCCGCAGGGACAAGGACGGCGAGGGCCGCGCGAGGCACGCCGAGGCCGAGGCCGCCCGCACCCGGCGCCGCTCCCGCAGCTACTCGCCCATCCGCAAGCGGCGCCGGGACTCGCCCAGCTTCATGGAGCCGCGGCGCATCACCAGGTACGGAGGGGCCGGCCGGGCCCGCAGGGACCTCCTGGGGGACGCATTGAACCTGGTGCAGGCAGGGGAGGTGGGGTTCAGGGGAGGGAAGAGGGCCTGGTGAGGGCTAGAGGCCCCTGGAGGAGGAGAGAGGCTAGAACTGGAGGTGCTGGGGAGGGTGGGACTCAGAGGCAGGGGTCTGAAGGCCCACGGAGGGGAGGGGGCTGTGTACTTGGGTCTGAGTGGGCAGCAGCAAGCATGGAGTTCAGCTCCAGAAGATTCCAGCCATCCTCCTGGAGCCCCTCCCTCTCTCCGTGCTCCCTACATCCATCTCCTGGCAATGATGTCTCCTTTTCTCCTTCATCTCAAGGTCCAGCCTGCCGAGTGGCCTGTGGCCGGCCTGGGGGCCGAGTGGACCCCCTCCCCACAGGCTGCAGGGGAGATGCCCATGTGAGCTGATCTGGCTCTGTTCAGCTGTCATCTGTCTGCCTCTCATGTTGTCACTAACTTCACTCCGCTCACCTCCCAGCACAACCCCCCCCCCGCCCCGCCCCAGGGGGCGGAATTCGGAGGAGGGGGCACCAGCAGCCTGCTCTCTGGGGCAGCTGTGGGAGGGCCTGTCCCTTCCACTCTCCCCTCCCCCCATCCCAGTCCAATGGGGCTGTGGGGAGTGTGTGGCAGATATGGCAGAAGCCACATCAGAGAGCGTCTCTGCCAGGACTGGAAGGTGTGGGCCTAGGTCTCCCTGTGAAATTATGCTCTGTGTTTGTGGAAACCAGTCCGAAGCCCTAGACCCCTGACTCGGGGTCGAGGGCTACAGGCAAAATTCTGAGCCCAGCTCTGCCACAGACCCTGCTGGGCAGCCTTTAGGAGATTGGTGTGCCTCTCTGGGTCTGGGTGTGCATGTCTGAACAATAAGTAGAGCTCCCTGAGCATCTTTTCAGCTCTAACATGGACTGATTCTCAAACTAGCCCTTCCAAGTCCTTGATGATGCAGATTGTGGAGGGAGGAGAGGGCATCGCCTCAGCCCAGAGCTAGAGGCCAGATGGCCAGGCCTGGGACACCCCCTAGACAGGCCACACACCTCACCCATATGCGGAGGGCCCTAGACTCCTGGAGCCCTGCATCTTCCACCTGGCACCCCCCTCAGCCCCTCTCCCAGGCTGCCTCCTCCTCCCACTAACGTACACCTGTTTTCTTCCTCAGAATTAACCCCACGCCATGGGGCACTGTTGCCCCCTTAACCGCTCTCTTTTCTTTTCTCTGGGTCACAGCCTCCTGGCTTCAAACTAACTCCGGGCCGGCGGGAGGTAGCTGAGTGAGAAGGGGCCAGCGGGACTGGGGGGGACAGGGTGGGGGCATGGTCATGGGCAGCAACGGCCAGGGCTCTCCTCCTTGTTCCCTTGAAGTGACCTGACAAACTGAAACCCTCGATTCTGTGGGGACCAGAGAAGCAGGGCTGGGCCTTATCCACAACCCTTTCCATGACCAGAAACCACTGCTTAGCTTGGTTGATGTGAGTTGTCTATATTTAAAAGTTTCATTTATTCAACAAATATTTATTGAGCACCTTCTCAGGCCAAGCAGACTTGGTCTCCTTTCTCTGAAGACAAGTGAGGAAAAACGAAATGACCAACAGGAAACTGGCAAGAGACCACTGACTGTCCAGTCCTTTCGGGGCAGGGGACACTCCAAGGCCAGAGGTCAGGGGAAACTGAGGCAGGGAAGCCCTGGCCACTGCTGGGGAAGGGCTCAGGGCCTGAGTGAGGGCCCAAGACAGAGCTCAGGGACCCGAATGGCCTGTAATCAGCTTTTCCCTCCCGGCAGTGCCCGAAAGCGTCCCATCCCCTACTACCGGCCCAGCCCCTCGTCCTCCTCCAGCTGCCTGAGCAGCGACTACTCAAGCCGGAGCCCCAGCCGCAGCCCCAGCCCGGGCCACAGCCACGGAAGCTACAGCAGCCGCAGCCGCGGGACCCGCAGCCGCACGCGCAGCCCCTCCCGGACCCCCAGTCCCAGCTACCACAGCCGGAGCAGCTCAGAGAGTGGGGGCTTCTGAGCCCAGACAGACCCAGCTTGGTGCCCCCTGGCATAGGGAAAAGCGAGGGGTCAGGCCCCAGGACCTGTGAGGGGGCCTGCACCCCACTGCTACAAAGAGGTCCCTGGGCCAGGGAAGACCTTGAGGGTGGGCGCCCTGCAGACGAGGAGGAGCTGGGTTCTGCTGCTTTTGGAGGGTCCCCACCCCCACCTCCTGTCTGCCCACCATGTCCAGGGAACAAAGAGCCGTTGCGAACACAGGGATCACCCTGTCCCCCTTCCTGCTTGATGCCAGCTCACCAGGCTGGGGACAGCTCAGTGGACCCAGGGACACCTCGGAAGGTGCCAGACCTGGGAGCCTCCCCTCCCCTCTCCACAAGGCCCTCGGCTCCTCTCTATCAATGGGCAGACAAGGAGTTGGGAAGGCAAGCAGGATCTAAGTTAGCCAGAAGGAAGAATGGCCTAACCCTTGGTGCATCGCCATCCAGGCTGGGGAGCTGCTTCCTTCTGAATTGGCTGCACTATCCTGGCTGAGGATGGGAGGCTGGCTCCACAGCCTCCCCCCCAGCCCCTCCCCTGGCCCAGGAGTACCCAGACCCACTAGGTGGGCCCCTAAGCCCCAGCCTGAGGAGCCGGGGAGCTCACTCTTGGTCCCACCTCTTCTCTCCAGGCCAGGCTCTCCCCTTCAGCCCTCACCCCATGCCCTGAGCCAAGGCCACAGCTGCCAGGCCTTCTGCATGACAAGAGGTGGGACATTCAGACCATATTGCATCTGACCTTGAGGTCAAAAGGGGTTCAGGTCAGGAGGTGGGAGGGAGGAGGGGTAGATGGAAGAAGAGCCTGTGAGGAGCAGGGGAGAGCAATGCAGTCCGATGACTGAGCAAGCCCTGGTGTCCCAGTGTGCCCTATGTCTGGGACATAGGCCAGATGGCAGCACAGGGTCACCGGCATGGGATAACATGCACTTTGGGGCCTGCCCAAGGGAGCACTTCCTTCTTGGGGTTTGGTGGGGAGGTGGTCAGTGGAGGCTACCCAGAGAAGAGTGCTAGAGCCCTTTGAAGAAAGGGTTAGGGTTAGATCTAGACTGAGGGCCTTGGCCTGGGGCATCAATGGGGAAGCAGTGGCCCCCCAGCCCTCTTCTGCTGCTCCCAGCCCACTCCTCCTGGGGCCCTCAGGGATCTCACAAAGTCTTCCTTGGCCCAACAGGGCACCTGCCCTGGGCTCCCATGGGGGGAGGGGTCTGGGGTCTGGTCCGGGTTCCCCCTCTATTTCCCCCTCCCTCTTTCTCCGCGGTGCGGATAAAAATTGGACTCTAATAAAACACTTGGTGCCCGGATGACAGGTGGTGAGACCAGGCCTCTGTGGATTTGGGCACCTGGGGAGTATGGGGAGGGCACAGGGTCCTGGGGTCCTTCCCTCCAAGAAGTGGGAGGGGCGCAGACTCCACCCCAGAGAGAAGATCTGGCACCAACAAGCCAGAGCCCAGTGTGTCCATCCCCCTGACTCAGTGTAGGAGCAGAGCATGCAGCTCAGTGGGGAGGAAAACAGGGACCCAGGAAGACTTTCCTTTCAGCCTGGAGACTCTGGGGGCTTTGAACATCCCCACTTCCCTCAACCCCCACGCCCCACCTAGCTTCCTCTCCCATCATTGTCCTTGACTCCAATACACCCCAGTCCAGCTGACCTGCCTCCTTGGGCCCTCCATGCATGACCTCTCCACCACCAAAGGTTCCGGTGAGCTCATGGTTCAAGACCTAGCTCAGCTGCCTCCTACTCCAAGGAGCCTTCGTGGTCCCCAGCTGCAGTGGCCACTCTCACCTCTGGGTCTCTCCCGCTCTTCCGGGTCTACACCTGCCTTTAGGGCCCCAAGCTCTTGTACGGCTTATTTGTGGGCATGTCCATCTCTCCCTAAATCTGTGAGTTTCTGGAGCCCAGGCCATGCCTTCTTGGCCTCTGCATCCCATCCCCCAAATAGGCACCCTTGAGATGTTTGTCAAATGAGTAAACAAGTGAACCGGGGAGCCAGGGAGTAAGCGGGTCCAGAAACCTTGGGGGAGGGGAGGGACCAAAGGCAAGGTGTGGTGGTGGCAGATAGACACTAGAGGGCGACAGAGAGGAAGAAAATTGCCTGTCAGTCCGCACAGAACAGGCCAGAATGGAGAGCCCTGGGCGGAGGTTCTATGTCAGCCTGGAAACCCGAAGCTCCTGTCCTCAGCGCCCATCCTGGCTACTTGGGGAAGCAGTGTCCAGTCCCCGAGGAAGGATTGGGAGAGTACCAAGCCCCTACCCTCCCACAGACTGAGGGTTCAGCCTGAACTCTGTCCTATACCTTGGGAAAAGGGGAAAACTACCTCCAGGAAGGCAGGCAGGAAAACAGGAAACTCCAATTCTGCATCTGGGAGCCAGGGGTGGGGGGGATGGGGTATGTGAATGGGGGAACCTTCCCAGGATGTGGGCTTTTGGGGTGTCGAATGCAGGTCCTCTCCTGGTGTCTCTGCGGATGGGGGCCTCAGGGACCCTTCTGTCCTTACCCCGCCAATACACACAGCAGCCGGGAGTCAGTCTGGGCAGGGCTTCCTGTGTCCTGTTAGATATTTTCTCTTCTTAATTGGTTTCCTGCAGCCCCAGACCCAGGGTAGCAAGTCAGTGCACACGCCCAGTCTGGGTGTCCCAGGGAGCATCTCCCATCCCCTGCCTCTCTGAGATGCTCTTGGAAGTCCCCGGGCCTCCCACCGGCCAGTGAGTGAATATGCTGAGGGCATATTCAGCAAACCTGCCCTACCACCAGGCACCTGCCCTTCCTTCTCCAGGCCCCTCGCCACTCAAGGACAACCAAGACATGAGAGTGCTCTAGCCATAGGGCCTCCCACCTCCACAGCCACCACAGGGGATGCCAGGTCCTCCCTCATCACCTCCCTCCACTCACCATACACACACCCCTCCAGGAGTATTAGATGGCAGAGTGGGCAGTGCAGACAGCCGGGGGTGGGGGGAGTGAGGGCGAGTGGAGGAGAAACTGTTGATTCACTATGCTGGAAGGAGCCTTCGAGAACATCCAGTCCAATGGTCTCATTGTACAGATGAAGAAAATGAGTCACAGGAGCTGGCTGCTGGCCAAGGTCACAGAGCCAGAGACAAGCAGGTCCCCAGACTCCCAAGCTAGACAGATCCTTTCTGCTAGACAGTGGGACGGTAGGGGCCAGCCCTCCCCACATGGCCCCTCCTTGGCCCCCCTTTAGTGGTGAGGGGGTGAGTGACACCCAAGACTAGCCAGAAGCCTAGGGGATGGGCAGGCTGGAGAGGGACTCCCAGAGAGGCGGTGTCTAGATGCTTCCAGAAAGACCTGGTGCCCCCCACCCCCATGTGCTCTAATTACTGCTGTCCACATTTTTAATTCCCAGTAAGCCCAGTGACTGGCACAATCCATCAGCTGTCAGGTCTCTCCAGGGAGCTCGGGCAGCTGCCTGAAGACTCTCGCATTTTCTCTGAGGCTGAGCCAGGGAGGGAGGGGCTGGCTCAGCTGCAGCTGGCAAAGGCCTGTCAGAGTTGTGGCTACTGTGGCCAAGGCCTTGGGCTCACTGCCAGACAAGGAGGCTGGGAGGCTGGTCTCGGGCTGCTGCAGAGTACCGCAGACTTTGGGGCTAGGGATGAGGGGAGGGGCCCCTCTGATTAAGGAATCCCAGACCCAAGCTTGCCTCCCCCACCACTGCCCCTGTGGCTACTGGGAAATCCCTGGGAGTGGAGTTATCTTTTTTTTTTTTTAAGATTTTTAAAATTTATTTATTTGACAGAGAGAGACACAGTGAGAGAGGGAACACAAGCAGGGGGAGTGGGAGAGGGAGAAGCAGGCTTCCCACGGAGCAGGGAGCCCGATGCGGGGCTCGATCCCAGGACCCTGGGATCATGACCTGAGCTGAAGGCAGACACTTAACGACTGAGCCACCCAGGTGCCCCTGGAGTTGTCTTCTTAATCTCAGAAATATTAGCCCTGGCAGCTCAGTGCCCAGAATGATAGAGTGGAAGATTGTCAAAGAACACTTCGGCAGGTGGACAAGTGGGGGCTGACAACCAGCCCTTGCTCCTCTTGCCCTGTGCCTGAGCAACCGGGGTACGACCTCCGGGAAGGGTGCATGGTCAGGGCTGGAAGGGACTCCAGAGAGGCCAGCCCAACCTTCCCTGCCCCCTGGGTGCACACCTCCCCCTGCGCCCACCAGCCCAGAGCCCACAGCCCTCCCTGGACTGCTTAGGAAGTGTCTCCCCTGCTCAATGAGAGTCAGGACGCTTGAGTTCCGATCCCTCCACCCGCTTACCAACTTTGTGACCTTGGGGCAGTTGCAGCTCAGTTTTCTCATCTCAGAAATGGGACTCTGAGAAGATACTTAGACCTGCCATAAAGTGCATACAACTGCGTAATTCTTATTAGCCTAAGTCTCAGCACCCAAAATTAAAGGCCCTCTTTCCTTAATAAAGGTGAACACTTACTGAGCACCAAGCACTCCCCACACATTATTGCATTTGAGATTCACCACAACCCCAAAAGATGAGTGTGTTATTACTACCCACATTTTGCAGATAGGGACAGCGGGCTCAAGGAGGTCACCAGGCCGGTGAACAGCAGCATCCAAGTTCAAGCCCAGCCTGTCTGACCCCAAAACCCAGTTTTTCCTGCAACCCCACCCCTCTTGCCACCACCCAGAGCCACCCATGTTCCCTCCCTTGTGATTGACAAGGTCCCTCAAGAAGCAACCCATTGAAGATGGATATGAAGTCTCAGTCCTGCCTCCCCCACCCCCATGGGCAGAGGGCTGGGAGCTGTTGGGCCCTGGTTTGCACAACTTCCTGGCTGGGGCAGCAGGAATGGACCCTCCCTGCCCTGGCTTCAGGCAAGATGCAGACAGCTACTAAGGGAGCCTCTGTCTACAAAGGGTTGGCAGGCAAGGCAGCCCGGCAGCCCCCACCCAAAGCGTGGCTGGGCCTGGCAGGACCACACTTGAAAGCATCCATGACCACACCTGACAGCTCCTGTAGGGTGGGGCTCCTGGACTCCAGTCTGGGCCAAGGTGGGCAAGCAGAGGCGGATGAGAGCCCTCCCTGGCTCCTGACCTCACCTCGACTTTATAGAGCTGGGAATGGGTGGGGTTGGAAATGCCAGGGAGCAAA